ATATCGCACACATACACATATTTCCATTCTTGCAAAAACATAACTTTCAAATCATCTATCTCGAGATCGAGCATGGTGATGATGTTGTCGTGACGCCACACACACCTATGGAATGATCAAAAGTGGACAAAGCTCTTCTTGACAAGGCTTTAGATCTAGTTAGGGAGATACATAGGTCACTTCACTAAATGCTAGCTAGATCTCTACCTATCTAGCTAGTTTGGGAGGAGACAAGTTCAACTAGTGGAGGGGGGAGGAAAAAGAGAAAGGAGATGCATTAATGGAGGTGGTTTAGTTAGCTAGGAGTAATAAAGAGAGAGAAAGATAGGTAGAAGAAGGAGAGTAATTGGGGGGAGAAGTAGTGAGGAAGAAGCAAAGTGAGGGAGAGAGGAGGTGGAAGGGGAAAGTGAAGAAAGAGAGGATGGGGGAGGGGGAGGGGGAGAGGGGGAGGAAAAAAGGTGGTATGGCTGCGGTTTAGCAGTAGCGCGGGCCTCTAAACGCGCTGCTGCTAACACGATAGCAGTAGCGCGCTCCTGGCGGACGTGCTACTACTAAGCGGGGCCCGCCATGTGGATAGGTTCAAAATTAGCAATAGCGTCGTGCAGAAAAAGCGTGCTACTACTATCTGGTTAGCAGTAGCGCGGTTTTCGTGGGCGCGCTACTGCTAAACCTAGCGTGGCGGGAACGGTCAGCCAATTTTAGTAGTAGCGTGGTTCTAACGAGACGTGCTACTACTAAGCTGGTAGCAGTAGCGCCTGTTAGTTGCACGCGCTACTGCTAATTAGCAGTAGCACCCCTTTTTGACCAGCGCTACTGCTAAGTTTATGTGTATAAGGTTTTCCCTAGTAGTGAGTATCTCTCTCTCTCTCTCTCTCTCTCTCTCTCTCTCTGATCCTCAATACAATGATCTCCTCTGAGATCAAACTGATGTAGTTCTTGTGGTGTGTTTGTTGGGATACGATGAATTATAGATTTTTTATGATCAGATTCTTTATTGAATGCATTTGAATCTCTTGACGTTTCTTTGCTGTGTAATTTTATAGCTATATATCTTTCTGATCTATGAGTCTTCTCTGGTCAAGATAGACGATTATTTCTTCAGAGGGAGTGGTGCATCGTAGTGGATTCAATCATGCGGGGATCTTGTCCAATGATGAAAAGGACGAAGACATGTATTGTATTGTTGTTACTAAGGATAGAACGATTAGGATTCATCTTATTGCTAGGTATCTTTCTATCTAGATTATGTCATCTTTTCTTATTGTGTTATTCTATTTCTCGCAAACTCAATACTTTGAGATGCATGTTGGATAACAGGTCTTGGGAATTAATAGTAGTAGACATCAGTAAGCTTAACAATCTACCTACCATAGATATAATGCCTCTGTGAGATTATGTCATGAATGATCATATGTTGTTATGAATTGTCGCTCTTCTGTCAATTTCCTGACAGTAATTTGTTGCCATGCCACTACTTGCTCTCGAGGGAGATGCTATATGCCCTGGGGTCTATTCTCCATTAATATAAAAGCTCCTACAATTTGCTCTTTTACTTTCTTGTCGTTTGCCCTATCAATATATATTTGCTTTTAATCTTGTAACTAGCCAGAACAAGGGGATTGAGAACCTCCTTGGTACTGTTGGGCGCAAGCAATTTTATCTATTTATGTGCAGATGTTGTCAACGTTGTTAGCTTGGTGCTTCCTACTGATTCGATAAACCTTGATTCTTAATTGAAAGAAATACTTTCTGCTGCTGTGCTACATCACTTTTCCTCTTTAGGGAATCAAACAAATCCTACGGGAGTAGCACTAGCCCATTCCTAAATATACAAAATAATCTAGTGTTTTCACAAATCCGCTATGCAGACATAGTTCCGCAATATCGCCCGCTATCCGCAACCCGCTACCCGGACCCCAATCTGCTACCAACCCGCTATCCGTTATTTAAAACCATGTCGGTGACGTCGAAGGAACTATTGGCGGCGACGGAGAGTCACTTCGGCATACTGAAGACAATGATGATGGTGGAGGTGTTTGCTCCACCACTACATTTCTTCGCATGCTTCGACTCAGGCGAGGACTACACCTGTGTGGTGCATGCGTCAGAGCATCTTCGTTGTGGTGGTAGGTGCATCAGTTTCACGTGCTGGTCCGTTTCATGCATGGTTCACCAAGGAAGATGGAGTACAAGATAACATTGAGTATCAAGGAGCTCCGAGGACAGGCCTGGGAACCAGATACAATCTATGTTCATCACCGGTGTCGATGGCGAGCTCATGACATTTTACCAACTACAGCCAAGTGGGTGTTGTTGGTGACTGTGTGACTACGTGACCCTTGTGGCGTACCCAAGAGGCTCACCGTCATGGTGCCAGCACCTCCTTTGCAGCCTCGACAGCCTGACTCCGACGAGGATGATCTCTATTTGCCGTTGCCATCAAACTCTCCGACAAAGCAATTTACCTTTGATTATCTAGGCGGTCGTGCACATGAAAGAAGTGAGCGACTTTGCCCCGAAGAAGGCATAGACTTGAGCCGCATGCACACACTCACTACCTGACATTGGAAGACCGACAACACCACATGGAGATCATGGCAAAGCGTAAGCATGGTGCTCGTATGAACTAGAGATCCACCAGAGCTAGAGAAGTAGCTTTCATTGTCATGTGTTGTTGTGTTAGTACTGCTTATGTTCAAAACGGGTAATTTGTGTTCTTGTGTATGTGTCATCGAACTAGGATATTGTCATGTTATCAGTGAACCAACCATGATATGTGTTGTGGATCTATCAATTTGTAAATTCAATAAAAAATGGACTGGTCCTTGGAGTTGTGTTAATTGAGTGTCCTTTAGTTTCTTAGTTGTGCAAAATCCAGTTTGATTATCCGATCTCTTACTATAAATTGTGTAAAATCCAATTTGCAATAGACATGCCAATTACTTGATCTTTACTATAGAGTAATGTTATTGCATATTCACTACAATTATTGCAATTCTTCTGGTTTTGAGGGTCTAGTTGTGCACTAAGTGGTTTGTTTTGAATGTGCTATGTAGTAAACAAATGCGGTGTCAGAAACTATAAACTGTAGTTATTTTGAGAGAAAATATGTCATGTCAATGAACTTGTAGTGGGTACTATAGGGTAATCAACATCACCATTTTCTTTAACATATGATATTTGAAGTGGCTAGGCTAAGGAAGACTACATTAGTGTGGTTGCTCATTATGTTGACGAAAAATGGAACATAGAAAAAAGAATCATAGGATTCAAATTAATTGACGTATCACAAATCGGTGAGAACATTGCTAGTTCTGTAGTCAAACTTGTGGAAGATTTTAGTCCCATGAATAAGATCTTTGCAATAACTTTGGATAAAGCTTCATCAAATATTATTGCAATGATTGTCGTGCTGCATCTTTCTTACCGCATCAACTTTGTACTTGCCATATAATAATCTTATTGCTAAGAGTGCTTTAAAGAGATTGAAGATTAAAAAACAATACCTTGATGATCTGTGAACTGCAATTTCTTTATGAATGCTTCTAATACATGAATAGGTGACTACAAGAGCTTTTGTCTTGCTTCAGGAGTACGTCCTTGTAAATTTTCCTTAGACATGCATATTAGATGGAACTCTACATTTATGATGCTTAAGTATCTTATTCCACATAAAGATGGTTTTTCCATCATTATTAACGCAAACTACCGTATCACTGATGGATCATCCCTGGTCATTGGCATGACTAAGTTTTCTGGAGATTTTGAAGGATTCAACCATTGCTTTGCCTGGGTTTATTATCCCACATATCCTTTAACGGTCCATCATATTTTAGATATTACTACTCATTTGAAAGCATATGAAACTGATATGATGTTACGTGATGTTGTGCTTGTCATGAAAAAGAAATATTCGAAATATTGGAATGAAATTCCAATATGCATTTGAATTTATTTAGGATCCTAGAGGTAAACTTGCAAGGGTTTGGTAATGTCCTCTTACTCTTAAGTGATGCCGTAAATGTATATTATTCTGCTTGTTTCACTAATGTTCGTGATAAGCTTTCTGAAATTTATAGTAAGTATGATGTGAAGTATGTCGGAGTTTGGTCCCAACGGCCCCCAGCACCATCATTTGGAAGAAGAAAGGAACATGGACAAAGATATTTGGTTCCTCCTCCTCTTCCTCGAGCTCTTCGACACCAACATCAACATTAGGCATAGTGACTAGTGACGGGGAGTTAGCGACGTACCTCAATAACGACAAAATTCAACTGGCTGTCAGGAACAAAATGATGAAAGGCTCAACAAATTGCAGTGGTGGCATGAACACAAGCTTACGTATCTGATGCTTTCCGTATTAGGGAGAGATGTGTTAACGGTACCCATCTTAGCGATATCATCAGAGTCTGCTTTCAGTCTAACAGAAAGAATAATTGACGAGAGAAGGACAAGTCTGACAAGTGATATGATGAGGACACTATGACTGTGGAAGATGGAGAACTAGCGCGACAGAGAACCCAACCCCCTATGAACAACATCAATCTGCTGTCCACACTCAAAGATCTTTATTCAGACGATGAACGACGAGAAGAATAGTTGTAATCTTTGAAAAAAAATCCTTTTGTATTTTTCTTTTCCGGTCAAGTAGCTTTGTACTCCTTTTCCTTACCGGGGTTTACCTAGAAGGTTTTAATGAGACATCTACTAATAAAGTTCAACATTTATCCACACTTTGCCTCTTTTACAATTTTCTGCATTTTTTCTCCATTTTTAGTTTTCTTGTATTATTATTATTATTATTATTATTATTATTATTATTATTATTATTATTATTATTATGACTTTTATATATACAAAGCTAAAGGCCCGAAAGGCCGAAACAGCCCAAAAGGCTGAAAACCGACATGGGCCGGCAGTCGTGCCTTGCCGGGCCGGCCCTTTTATCTCCCAAACTCCGAAAGAAAAAACAGTCGTCCACTGTTGCAACTCTCCCGGCCATGGCAGCAGCGGCGGCGCAGAGGCTTCTTGCGGCGAGCACGAAGATCGTCGGGGCCGGGCGCAACTACGGGTATGTTTGGTTTACAACCAATGGTCACCCTACCAAAAAGTTGGCTGGCCCATAAGATTTGGTCATCACTTGGATCGGTGCCAAATATTTGGCGCGCCCAGCCCGCCCAGGTCGCTCCCGTGTAAAAACTGCCAAATCGCAGGCGCGGCAGGGGCGCAGAAAACCCGCGCCAAAAAGTTGGGAGCGTTGCCCTCGCACGCTTTTCATTGTCTTCGGTGATTATCAAACGTAATTAGTATGGCAGATTAAATGGCTGGGCAAATCAACGTACGTACCTACCATACCTTTGGATCAATTAATCCCGTCTAGCGGCCGGTAACCAATCCTGCTCTCTTTTTTACAGGGGAACCAATCCTGCTTAGCACAAGCAAAAAAACAATCCTGCTTAGTAGTAGTACCAAACCGTACCAAACACTTAAGTTATCGCAGTTTAACCAAAACATCGTGGGGAGCGCTGGGGCAGGTATGGTTCTCAGGGACGAACATGGAGCTACCATCTTCTCTTCTAGCCGAGAGTTACGGCAGTGTATCTCCCCGCTGGAGTCTGAACTTGCAGCATGCATGGAGGGCATTTCCCTAGCCTCACAATGGTCTGCACTACCGATTGTTGTCCAAACCGACTGTCTAGACGTGGCCAAGCTGATTAATGAAGGAGGAGAGAACCGGTCTGAGCATATGATGATGGTACGTGAGATCACTAAACTTCTACAGGACCGTGGGGAATTTCTAGTCAAGCATGTAAGGAGAGAACAAAATGTTGTTAGTCATTTTTTAGCAAACTATGACAGAATAAAAAAGCACACCGCGGTGTGGCTTCGATCTGGTCCGAGGTGCCGGACCTTTGTAATGCAGACATGGCTGCTGGTTGATGAATGAAATATTTTTCCCTCGCAAAAAAAAAACAAAACATCGTGGATTAAAATGAAAGACTGTCTGGATGTCAACGTTCTTTGCACGGACATATGTGATGCGCATGTGTACTTTTATACACGCCCGTTTTCCACTTGGCACATTGTAGTTAATTAAGTGTTTTTTAACACATGTCCCTTTTTTGTTATTAAAACTGGATTGCAATCAAACCAAACACTGATCAATCCAAATTCCCAAAGTGCGCCAAGTTAGTTGGCTGCAAACCAAATGGAAGCCTACTGATTTTGCCAAAAAATGGCAAGTACAATGGCTCTAAACCAAACAAGATCAACTTACCAAAAAATTGGTCATGCCCTAGCTTTGGTCATGCCAAAAAATTGGTGGGGTTAGTTGGGGCACAAACCAAACACACCCTACATCTCCCATGCCAAAGATCTCGGCAACCCTGTCCTCAAGGTCCATGCCCCTCCGACCCTGACCCTCTCCCATCCCAAGACACGGGGCGCCCTTCTTCCTGCGCGGTCTCTGATCCGGTCGCGGCATCGGCGGCCTTGTTGCTCTGCTTGCAGGAACCCGTCCTATTCCTGAAGCCCACGTCGTCATTCCTCCACGCCGGCCCGACCGCCGGCCCCATCGAGGTGCCCGAGCCGCTCGAGTCGCTGCACCACGAGGTCGAGCTCGCCGTCGTCATCTCCCGGCGCGCGCGCGATGTCCCCGAGGCCTCCGCCATGGATTTCGTCGGAGGTAATTAAGAGCCGTGGTTATGG